CCCCAAAACCCCAAAACCCCAAAACCCCACTTGACTGAATTATAGTAAATTTTGATAAGAGCAACAGTAAAATTAGCATGATATAATTTTAAATTTTAAAAAGAGTTAATGAGATTTGCAGCTGATATATCGCCAGCAAGAAATTTTCTTTAGGCAAATGCAGGCTAGCCAAGAGAAACTGGATCAAGATTTAATGAGTTCTAGCCATATACAGTAGGGGCTTCAAGTGTATCCAGAAATCAAAATGCTTCAATCTTAAAGCCTATATCTCCCAACATCAGCATGAGTAGAATAAATGCTAGCAATCAGAGATAGGTTTAATTTCAGTAGCTGAGAAGTAATACCAGCAGAATGAACCATTCAAGGTCTCCAGTTTATTTTGTTGAGCCCTCGCAGAGTCTCAATCATACCCAGCATAACTAGTCAAGGAGTTTGCTAAAGAATGGTAATTTAGTTAATCCTTTATACAAGCAAAGGCAAGATTTGAGTCCTTCTAGTCAAATGAATCTCTTACTGAAAAAAGAAAGAGAATATAATGACTTCTATGAGAAAAAATCTTATGTTAAGAATCAAGGCTACTACAACATTATAGTCTCTGGATTCAATAATATTTAGAAAGACTCAAGTGCTTATAACCCAAGCGTCAGGAGACTGGAGAACTTAAGCTTGCTAAGACCTAGAGATGAGAACTCATCAATCAACAAGAAAAATCAGCAAGAGTCAGAGAGAGAAAACTTGGCTTATAGTGACCTTAGGAAGCAGATCATTCAGGAGTTTCTATCCATACCTAACCGTAGAGACAAGGAAAACTCTAGTAAACTAAAGAATTTGATCATTGGAAAATCACAATTTGCCTAGAAACTTAATTTCAACAAGACTGCTTCAAATATTTATGACGTCTCATAAAGAGAAAACGAGATACCCACATATTCTCCCATTGACTAGAATAGAACTGCAGCTGCTTAATATGTTCATGTCAGCAACTCTACCAGAGCTATTCTCGTTTCAAATGATTCAGGACTAAACTATGCTGAAATTCAATATATCAGAAGGGAGGACGCTGAATAGGCTTTGTAGCTGAATCTTAAGGAATTTAAAAATGATTAGGCTTACTTGATGATAAGTGTAAAGTACAAAGAGTCAGACCCGCAGCCACTCAGACCTATCAATCAAAACCATTTGAAGAGTGAGAATGGAACTGGAGGTTTGCAAAAGAAAAATCCTCACTTGTCATTGAAGAATGTAGGCTCTCTCATCTAAGATGAAATCGATGATGACAGAAATAATGGAAATATCATAACTCAACTCTTAGATAAGATTATTGGAATATTTATGGCAGTATATTGAGGAAAAAATTAGAGATAATTAACAAAGTATAATATTGAAAGAAGTTGCTAAAGTATATATTAGTAATATGTTTAAATTTAATATCATAATATTTTTTTGCAATTATATTGTAAAAGCTCTATCGATTGATGGTGGGGTTTTGGGGTTTTGGGGTTTTGGGG